GTGAATGATTTGTGATTATTGAGGCTCTTGGAGACTTGTCATCTCTCAGAGCCCAGCGCTGTAATAACTCTGCATTTAACCAGAAGAAAATAAATCTACTTAAAGCTGATTCCTGTTTCCTGAGTGTTACTTCTTGGGGCCTTCAGACAAAAGAACCGGTCAGAATTAAAAATTGCCACTGATGATTATTACACAACAACATTACATCACATACAGTACAGTCACTCTCTTTCTAATGCATTTTGCTTTTGTATTTGAAAACTTTCATCCTTAGCCTTGGGTGTACCGGACAGTTTCCTGGCATTGTGGGAAATGTAACTGTCCAGGGATTTCAGGCACATGTTTTTGTTTAGTGACCACATGCTTGCATGTGAAGAGCTTGTTTTTACGAGCTGGATGGAACTGCTTTGTGAGTAAAAGACACTAATACATGTTTTCCCATTTTCTTGAAGATTTCACTCTGGCATTGATGGTGTTTATTTTGTGCTGGACTGATAAAGAAAGACTGACACCCACCATTTCTTTGACTCTCTGCAAGATTTTCTTTCATTTGTTTGGCTATTTTTGGCAACTCTGTGAAGTCAAAATGAACCATTATTGGATTAGTGTCATGTTACTGATCTAAAACACGTGTTTGTGTCATTGGAGTCAGTTCTGATGGGGAAATATTACTATAACCAATAAAAATCAGCTGAACAATATCATCTTTACATGGTATAATTCAAAAACAAACTACAAATGGTTGATTTGGCAGGAAAACACTTGTGGTTCTGCCAGACATGCATCTGTTTGCTGACAGGAAACCCAGCCAGGTATCTATCTGACGCGGTCAAACACAAAACTAAAATACCCTCAAGCAAATCACCGTACTGTAGAAATGAAAGCAAAACTTTCATGTTCTTTGAAGCCACTTTTCTTGTAACAAAGGCCCTAATGTTTATACCTACTGACAACAGGAACGTTTGTACTGAAGAAAAACTTGAATGCAAGTTTAACAGGGCACTGAGAAGAGAAAGCTGTGGGCAGGGACAGACAAGGGCAGCTGAAAACCCATAGAATAGAGAAAGGTTTTGTTCTGTCATTTCCAGTGTCCCTTGCAGAATAAAACACTGTGCTTTTCTAGCAGAGCTGCTCCCCACACAGGCATTTCATTCCATTTCCCTGCACTTCCCTTCAGACTTGCTGAGGCAGTCACCTCAGGCTCTTGCATGGGTTTGGTGAACTTCCCAGACACGTTTGATCTGCTATCTTTAGTAACAGCTTCACTAAAAACAAGTCAAACTACAATTCTTTTAAAGTCCAAGGTAATACTGATCTTTAAAAAGATTTTTAAAACTCTCTCTCATGCTGTAAAGTGGTACAAGAAATACTTGAAGTACTTTGCAATACCACAGAGTAAAATACTGCATTATACTCTTGGAAGTCTTGCTTTAAAAGGTAGGTGTTATATACTGTACATTGTTTTCACTCATTACATCACTGTTTAGCCTAAATAGTCATGAAGACCCCATCCTTTATTGTGGTTATCATTCAGTTATGGTTCAGATCACAATGCAGCACTTATTGTGCTTTAATATCAAAATCAAAAAAATGTATTTGCAGTAAACACTAGGAGTCTTGGCCCTATAAAGTCTGTTTTAAACTTTAGCTAATATCAAAAATTGCTTTATAACAGGCCTCAAAGTGGTGGCAGGAGCTCAAAACATTTATTTAAATATATAAGCATCAAGATTAAAATACAGGCAGTGTTTCAGCTAATTCTGGACTCTTATAAAGTCTTGATGAATACCCTCACAAAGCAACACTATTTTGGTTGGTTCTTTAACTAAGAGCAGACAAAGGAGTAGGAGGAGATGAACTGGAGGCAGTGGGCGGAGTTGCTACAGCTGCTTTCTTTTCTACTCCAAGTATAAAACTGTCTGCCATACTGGTGCAAAGGAGAACTAAATCTGAGCCTGAGGATGTGTTGAGCAACCTGGGCATAGAGACAGAGAGGGAGACAGAGAAAGAGAGCGAGAGAGAGAGAGAGAGAGAGAGAGAGAGGGAGAGGGAGGGAAGTAGAATCAGACCCCGAGGACAAACAGTGCAACACACTCACATTGTGACATAAAGACGGGCAGTGCAACACACTCACATTGTGACATAGAGACGGGGAGAGAGAGCAGGAGCTCAGCTAAGGCGTCATCTCTGCTCCGGGGAGAGATCTGTAGTTTTTGGCCAGCACCTCATGAGAGGTGGAAAGCTGATGACAACGTTGCTGCTGTGGGACTGAAAAGGACAAAAACACAGGACCAACTTTTGACAAAGAGAAGGAATTATGCCATGAGGACATCTCTTTAATGGACCTGAATGTGGATATGTCATCATTCCCTCTGTGGACTCAGACGTTTGTGTTGGTTGGGGATGCCTTGAATGGAAAGGGAACACATTTGTCTGACTAGCTCATCTGAGTAAGTAAAGCTCAGCCTACAACTTGTGGGGTGCAGCCTGGTTGAGAGACAAGACGGGGGGAGGGGTGGACGCTTGAGCCTGAATCTCTGTCCTTGGGGAGGGGACTTTTCAGCATGAGGTAATTCCCACAAGAACTACCTCAAGACAGGGGAGACAATCATGTTAACCATGTGCAGCACTTCTCTCTCACATGGACAGTTGTGTTCATGCCAGTAGCCTGATTTCTTAGACGACTGCATGCTTTCCTCTCCCTTCATTATAGAGGGCAGCCCAATGATTGTATAGCTATTACATAACAAACACCCCTTGTCCCTCCACTCCTTGTCTCTCAGAATGTACAGTACCGTCTCCCCCACGCCACAGACTGGAATTAACTCAACAAACAGCTTTACATGCAACAAGACTGATGATTTCAAATACCCTCTGTACAGCACCATCTTCAGCCTTGTGTTTGTGGTGGGACTGATCACAAATGTCATAGCCATGTATATTTTCACCTGCTCTCTGAAGCTGAGGAACGAGACCACGACTTACATGATGAACTTGGTAGTGTCTGACCTGTTGTTTGTCTTCACACTGCCTCTGAGGGTCTTTTACTTCATCAACCAGAACTGGCCTTTTGGAAGAATACTTTGCACGGTCATCAACCAGAACTGGCCTTTTGGAAGCCCACTTTGCAACATCTCCGTCTCACTGTTCTATACCAATATGTATGGCAGCATGCTGTTCCTCACCTGCATTAGCGTGGATCGCTTCTTAGCCATTGTGCACCCTTTTCGCTCTAGGACACTCAGGACCAAACGCAATGCTAAGATAGTGTGTATTGCTGTGTGGGTGCTGGTGCTGGCTGGAAGTCTTCCCGCAGGGTACCTGTTAGAGTCAAATTGCTGTGTGGGTGCTGGTGCTGGCTGTAAGTCTTCCCACAGGGTACGTGTTAGTTCGCTCCCCTAATGAGAATAAGACAAATGCCATTTTCTGCTTTGAGAACTTCTCCTCCAAACAGTGGAAATCTCAACTGTCCAAAGTGGTGATCTTCATAGAGACAGTGGGCTTTTTCATCCCACTGCTACTCAACGTTTGTTGCTCCATCATGGTGCTGCAGACCCTGCGTCGCCCCCAAACCATCAGTCGTGGGGGGAAGCTGGACAAAAAAAAGATCCTGCGTATGATAATGGTACATCTCTCTATTTTTTGTTTTTGCTTCATCCCCTACAATGTAAACTTGGTTTTCTACGCTCTTGTCCGAACCAATACCTTGAAGGGCTGTTTTGCGGAGTCTGTGGTCCGAACCATCTACCCCATAGCCCTCTGCATTGCTGTATCCAACTGCTGCTTTGATCCCATTGTTTACTACTTCACTTCAGAGACCATCCAGAACTCTATCAAGAGGAAGTCTCAAACCAGCCACATGTATGACCACAAGTTCTCTGAGGCCATGCACTCAGAAACCAGCTCCACCGTGCAGTACAGCCTGAGGAATCTCAAAGCTAAAGTGTTCAACAATGAGTCTTCAGTGTGACAGTGGGATTGCTAAACTCTGCAGTATTAAAATCTATCCTTCCATAGAATGGGGCAATGGGATAGCACTTTTAGTGCTTTAAGAAGCACGTGTCAAACAAGTATTATCTCAGTCTTCATCTCAGGGCAAATGTTTGGACCTGGACATGTTTGGCCTCTGCAGTATTACTGCTACATGACCGTTTGTTCACAGCTGTGGATTATTACTGTTGCTTTCCCTTTCCTGTGGAATATACTGTAATTGTGTTAAGCACAACTGCTCTGCCAGTGACCTAGAAGGGAATGTGATCACTGAACAGCAGCACAGTTATGCTATACTGTAGAATGCTACATGTGCATGTATACGTGTATATTTCCATGGTAAGTTTAGAATAGTATTTGTTAATTTAACATGAAGTTATATCAAGATATATATTGTACAGGGGTTTGTGTTTCTACATTGTGAATTACAAGTAGGTCACAGTAGGCCCTTTTTGTTCTGGCAACATTTCATTGTAATTTGTTCATCATTAAATGCACTGACATGTCAGCAGACAGGTGTAACTTCATACCATTTAACTGCTAAATGTAAATGTTTGTTGTGCAAATGAGGAGGCAAAGAAGAGGAAATAGAAAGTAGACTGTGTCTGTCTGACTGGCAGTGGGGAGTGCCAGCTTCTTGTGTGGCAAATAGTGGGGGAGGAGCGGAAGTCCTCATTAACAAAAACTGACAACGATGGACTATTCACAATAAATAAATATGTACAGTATGTAAGTGTGGTGTAAGAACCAGCAAGAGGATTACGCTTCTAACAGTCATTGGCCATAACTGAAAACATTTCTCATGACATTAAATTTATAAAAAACAACATCAAAGTCGAATTATATATAAAAAATATTAATAAAAATGTGCTGTTTGCAGTGCACTAAAAACAGATATATGAAATATTTGCCAACTATGGATACATGTACAAGTGAGGAGTATACACAGCGTGAGAGTGAATAACTGAAAACATATGTTACTCTAAACTTTACTGGCATAGCTTGAAGATCAGTTAGCGGCATATTAGTCATACCCTTGACTCACATGGCAGTCATACCCTTGACTCACATGGCATCAGTACCACAGTTATGCACACAACTGGTTTTATTGCCATGTGTGAAATTTAAGGACTGTGTTAAAAACCTGGGAGTTTTGAAACCAAACATACAGTTTAACACTGAGGCAATTCACATCATCTGCACATCAATAACTATAACTCCTCCAAGACTGAGCAGACATCTTACCATCTAATTCAAGAGGATTACCACACATCATAAATCGATTGCTATGCATAGTTCTGTGGCCATGTCAGGAAGTCCTCAGCTTGTGTATTCCGCACATACAACCTTTATTTGACTGCCTGATTTTCATGGTTGTTGTCATCTGTGCCAAAGGTCAGGGCCGACACAGAAAGGGACAGATAACAAACAAACAAACAAACAAAGGAATTAAACTTTTTAGTTGTCATTTTGTATCTAAAGCAAATACAGTAAGTAAGGGAAGTAAGCTCTGGTCTTACTGAATGTTTCATTAAAACCTTCCTCATTTACAATAACTGATGTAACTTCTTGGAATTTCTGTGTTGTTCCCATTTTATTGCTTAATGTCAAGAACATCGAGCTGTGTAGTCACTAAACACTAAAACTTGTAGGAGTGTAGTGCATCAGGGATTGCGTCTCCCACGTGAGCCCAGCAGGCTCCTCTGCACACACAGCAATAATCTAATCAGGCTGACCGCTCCTTCCCAGCAGGATATATGGTGAGAAAACACAGATGCTCCACTGTTTGTCATCACATGCATTTTGTTCTGCATTGCTCTGGTAAGGTCAGATGTGAACATGCATCACAGTGTTCTTGTGTAATGTGAGATAGACTGAGGATCTATTAAACTTTACTGTGTAAGTAATGCAAAAAAAAAAAAAAAAGAGAGACAATTTTACACAAGTAAATCTCTGTACATTTTTGTTACAGTTGAAGACTGTTTGCCAGCCAGTAGTTGTGTCTAGTTCATTTAAACAAATCAGCCTTTAGAGACACATCATATAAGTAAGTTTAAATGACTGCTGAAATCAGTGAAGGTCACACAAACCAAAACCAATGTTTTGGCTGAGACGTTGTCTTCATCAGGGTCATCACAGTCAGCGGCGTCTTAGTGGAGACTAAAACAAGTCTGGATTTACTCTCTCACCTACAGCTTTAGGTCACTCTTTTCCCTGTGGTAAATCCAGCATGTTTCCTCTAATGAGCCTCTTAATGGCTCTTTTGAAGTTCTGTCAGCCCCAAACGACCAGAGATCCTCTGGGGGAATTTCTGCTGAGGTGTTGACAGAGACCTCACCACCTTATGTGTGGACGTTTGGGGAAGAGGCGGTTGGGTGAGGTGAGACCAGGGCAGGATCCCCAGATTCAGTCTGCATCACATGATGAAATTCAAAAATTTAGGAAGTGGCTATAAATACCCTGGTGTGGTTGGTTTCCATTTAGATATTTGCACAATTTTCCGACAATTACACCAGAATCACAGTTCACATTTCTGGTATTTAGAGTCTCGCCTTGATTTGGGGTAAATGGGTAGTATTATTGTTCTATAAAAAGTATGTCACCTTCCAAAGGGGCACTTTACTTGCTTGCAAGACAATTTTCCTGAAGGAGGGGGCTATAAAAACCACAATGCAGGAGACAGAACATCATGATTGGTAATAATTTGCCAGGAGGTGGTTGTCATAAAAGAAGGATCTTGCTTGTGCCAGCACAACAGTCCTTCTAAAATCATCAGAGGCATCACCAAACAAATAACTAGAGGTGGAATGAGATCACTGGAAGGTGGGAGGTTAACTAAATAACTGCCCCAACTACTCACATGTAATCCTCTGTATTTCTCTGTCACCTCGAACCATAAACAGGCCTTATCACTTCCTGGATGAGGTATTTGACCAGATCAGCTCTTGGATGCATTACATCTTTGAAATGAAACAAAAAGGAGAAGCAGGGTGTAACACAAATTCTCCCATCGCTGGTGTCATGGTGTTATCCAAAACATTTATACTATACACAGTGTTCAACCTGTTAACCAAGGTAAAGCCCTTGCTGGTCTTAGATATAGTTCAGCCATGTAAACAGGAAATAAAATTAGTTCAAATTTCATCCACATTTAACAAAGTGTGTGCGTACAATGCAGTCATTGTTCTTCTCTTCATTAACAACACGAGTCTGTATCTTAAGGCAAGAATTTGGAGCATGTTTGTTCTTGAAAATTGTGGTTGGAGCGTGCACGACATTAGTTTCCAAGCCCAGCACTTCCCCATGAAACTGCACAGAGGTGATCTATGATGACTCATGGAGAAAGACTGGTCTGTGGCTCAAACCCAAACTGAGAATAATCATACCCTGGTTTCAGAACAGAAACATATTAAGAACAAATGAGGAACAAATTTAGTGAGGATATGTGGGTTGTGTGTGTGTGTGTGTGTAGACGTCATTTAACATTTTGAAATACGTCAGATGTGTATCTGCAGCTTTGTGTTAAACCAAAATGACACAGGTCCAAGCATGAAATGAAACTTGTGGGAAGTGAACAGTTCTGTGAATCTACCTAGGATTTCCCGTACACACTCACTCACATCCTGACACACACATTGTTGCAGTCACGTTTTGGGGCTGACAGATTTATTTCCCGTTAACACCACCTTGTATGTTAAAGTCATTCACTGCAGGTTAGCTCCACCCCAGCACATCCAGTCTTCAAGTCTTTTGCTTCAGTTTGAGTGTTTCAACCTGACTGTTAGAGAAAAATATACAATGCTCAGGTGTGTAATGGTGGGACAGGTTGGGCTTTTCTTAGTCTCCCTCTGAAAACTCCTGGGAGCTTTAACCAAGTCTGAGCAGCCACTGTGAACACATTAATCCTCTCTTATGGCTACAGCTCCTAACCAGAGAGGGCAGCCCACTGGTGCAACTGACAGTCTCATGGGAGATGGGAAAGGTCACTGGGTCAAACCCCACAGCAGCCTCATGTCCTGCATGTCCTGTCAAAGTGTCTTTTTAGCAAATACAAAAACGAACAAAATGATGTAAAATTGTGATATGTTTATGCAACAATAAACTCCATATAACATCATGCTGAAAACAGTTTGTAGATTCATATAAATACTTATACTACAAACAATCGTGCAAAATTATGCTAACAATGTGAGAGTTTACAGGAATAAGACTGTGGTAAGTTGAGTTACTACTTGGTCAGTGTTTTATTAAAATGGTATTACTGAATTAGTTAATAAACCTAATTTGAATAAGAAATGAAGCAATTAGTAATGTAATAATTTGGTTTAGTTTATTCCAGTAACAGATTATCAAGTGTTGGAAGGGGTCATAGTCTCATTTAAAAAAAATATTTGTTAGCTTATTACCTGCAGTCCATTACTGCAGCTCTTGAGCAATGCTGAACCCATATTGACATTTTGAATCTGTTTAGTCTTGTTCTCACCAGAAAAAAATACTGCATTCTAAAATCCACCTCTCATGTTTTAGGCAGCAGCTTAATACCCTCTAATATTATAGCACAGACTGATAAATAAATGTTCATAGCACAGGCTGACCCTTACAGGTCAGCTTTGAGGTCAGCATGTTCCCCAGGAGGAATTTCCACAGAGCCTCTGACCACACAGTGCGTTCCCTTTCTTCCTCGGCAGTAACTCAGACTCCTTTAACCACAGAAATTCACTGTTAGATTCCTGAGTGAGGTGATGTCCTTTTCTGCTCAACCTGCTCTTTTCTGAAGAGATTTATCTCCATCAAAAACACTGAAATTTCTTACTCAAACCTAAAGATGGTACGTTCAAACTAGAACCTCTGCATCCTTTTGAACCAGGGACTTGGAGAGACATCTAATTTATTGACACTGTGGTCACAAGGTGGGAAGGACATGGCTCACTGATACCCCCCGGGCTTATCTTTGGCACCTCAAAACAAAACACAGAATTAGCCCTGTGTAGCAGACAGATAAGACAAGATAATTACCTGCACAGAACTACTGTTTCTCACTGATGTCTTGAAGTTATAAAAATCTGTTGCTGTTGCTTAAGTTTTATAATCTATAGCAAGCATTTAGACAGCAGTTTATTTGAACCTCACTACAAGCTTTGAGAGTGTATGAAAAGCTTTCCGTGCTATATGGTAATGAACGGAAGCTGATGGCTGCTTTAACAAAACACAGTATAAAATCTAAAACACTGGACAATATTTACAAAATTGTTGTATTAAGTTTAGTAAATTTAGTAAATGGGCAAAAACCATGGAGCATCATTAGTTTGGTCCTTCACCACATATTAAAACGAAAGAGGATCACTGTGTGAAACATTTTGATGATGATGCAATCAGAATTATATGTGTTTGGAATCTCCAGAGCTGATAAAGACACTAATCATTAACTTACTGATCTGGTTTCCTGTTTGAACTTGAAGAGATGCATCTCTTTATATAAATGAGATATGAATACTAACGGTTCCACTACAATGAATCACAAGTCTGGATGTTGTAATTCATATTGGAGCCTGGACTATTACACTGTTTCTCAAGCTCTAATGAATCTATGTCAAACTCATTTTGTGATTTAAAGGCAGGTACAAATTTCTACCTTCGTCAGACCACAAGCTGAGCAATAAAGCCTACAGCTGTCTTTACTGTGAGAATGTTCTGTTCAGGAGAGTAATGCATGGGAAGCCTGTGCAACAGCTCATGCTCATTTAAAACCACATTTCATGGTTTTCTGGAGGCTATAAACAGTGATGATGATGAAGGTGTGATGTTTTGCAAACACAAGCAGGTGAGCAGTGAAATCTTAAAGCGGGGGAGGACTATATGTGTGAGATGAGTTTCATGTTCAGATTAGTACAGTATGTGCAGTATGCAGGTGATAAAGAAGCCAGAGTTACAAGATATCATATGACAGTTCTGCTGTTATCTACAAAACAGGATGTTTAAAGTCCTTCTTACGTATGGAAGGAACCGAACATTTAAACATTTAAAACTACATCTGAGATTAAAAATAAAAAAGCACAACCACATAATACAATAAAATGGAACAGTGTACTTATTATTTCATAAGAAAATGGTAAAGCAGCTTTTAGTAAATGATAAGAGCAAGACTTTTAACAACTCCACTGAAACTCCTGTTTGCTATTGATCTGTAATTGGATAGAAGGAAGCATGGTCAGGAGACAGGACAATACAGCCTGTGACCCTACCTAAGGGTGGCCTGTTAGGACTCAACACACATATGAGTTACCAAAAATAGCAGCATTTAAAACTACAAATGATCAAACAACCAGCACAGAGCTGGCAGTGTCCCACTTCACACAACCCCTGGATGCAAACTGAACTGTTCCTGACCTTTTTTTATTTTGAGCAGCGGATGAATCGTGCTGTTCTAGGCCTGGCTCTGCTTGGCCACGTCAGTCCCTATTGTCTGATACAGACTAACAAAACAGTGGCAGCAGACAAAGGAGGGTCATTACAGAGGGCATGAAATAATCATAACAATGACAGCTCCCATATTTATAGTTGCAAAGAGACTCTAAACTGCAGCGCCTAAGTGCTTTGTTAACAGGAAGAGCTGCTGCCTGTGAAGAATAAACAGCACTTCTCTGTACTGGGTGAGTCATGGCAGCAGGCTTCATTACTCGCTTCACTGTGTGGGAGATAGTAGTGGGGCTACAGATGTCCACTAAAACCATCAATACATGACAATAATTAAGGTATCAATATCAAGAAAAAACACAACAGAAATGTAAAAACTAAGGCTCCCTTTCTAAAATAAAACTGGAATAGGACTTGCTTAGAAAATGCCTTTCTAGACATCAGTAGCCAGACAGAGATCACTGGGTCATCATGCATCTGCAGGGCTCTTCCTGAGTGAAGCTGGGGACATTCAGAAAACAGGCCACAAAAACAGACACTGAGGCAGGGAAACAAAAGGCGAGCAGAAATTGTCATAGATAACAAGTGTCGATATTTCATCAAGGGCAATGACAGAAGCTGAGGGTCGACAGGTCAAGGTGTGTGGACAGCCTCAGAAAGATGACAAAATGTAAAGCCTTTTGTACATCATTGGTAAGAGAGGAAGTCACTTGACCTGTTTGCTATCAGGTCATAAGGATGAGCAGGAACTAAATCAATAAAGTGCTTCAGATTAGATGTCTGAGTGCAACCTGAGGTTATAGATGCAACCTCATAGTGACTCTGGGTAGATACTGAAATACAGGATGTAGCACATTTTAAAATGAGCAAGACTTCAAGGTAAGATGAACAGAGAAAAGTGAGAGGAAATGTGACTGTACATCAGTGTGTCTCACTTACACTGTGAGCTGCTCAGCTCACACGCGAGCTGTAACATTAAGGCATTGTGGTCATGCCTGCACTTACACAGCAGGGAGGTTAGCACTTAAAATATGAGGGGGTTGTTGCAAATTTTACTTCCGTCTCTTCCAGTGAGAGCAATGAGTCAGATTCAGTCTGTTTCACAATAAATGTTTCACTTCCACTCAGACTTAATATACATTGTAAAAGTGTGCTGATATGCAGCAATTCATTCAAAAAGAAATGTCTTTTTATCCCATTTATAGCCACTGAGATACAACAGAAAGCTTCACATCCTTCCTGCAAGAGGAAGCCCCTGTTCATCAGCTTGTTTGCCTCTGTATTTTCTGACCTTCATAAAACTGTTCAGCCAGAATTTTTTTTTCCAAGTCAGGTCTTGCACCTTTGATCCAACAATTACAGAAACAGCTGTATAATTAAATCCAAACCAACAACCCTGAAATACTGTAACTCCTGCAGTATACTGGGCAGTGCTAATTGCATTATGTTTATAATATCCTGTAATAACAAACATACAGATGAACATTAAACCTATGAAATAAGTTTACATAAAGGCTGTAAATCAGCTGCGTGTCCTGGCAGTTACTTGCACAATGTCATTAATTCAAGGATTAACTCCATATTAATCCAGTATTACATTTAGAGCAGATTCAGTGTAACAGAAAATAGCAATTAAAAAGCTTGAATTAGGGCTGAGAATAAAGATTTTGACATTGATTCCAATCTGATGCCATAGTAGCCAAATATGAAGTTTCCTGTGTTTCAGCCTTTTTTAAAAATTAAAACAATATTCCTCAATGCATTAGTATCAAATAAAGAACATTACAGTATAGTCTAAAATTTGAAGTGTGTCCTAATTTAGATCTGGAAATATCTGATCAAAAAGTAAGCAAACAAACCCAAGACACTGTGAAGACACTGTCTAGCCTGTAGGACCACTGCTGGCAGACCCCCCTATCTGCAGGACACACAACATGATGTTGTAGCTCTGCTATGCAACCTTATCTGTATTTATGCTGGACATGGATGGGGGGGGGGAATTCAGTGTGTCTACAAGATAACTCCTGAGCCTCCTCACATAAAACACATCATGGGCTCAAACAGTGAAGTCCTCCTGCCAGCCAATGGGAAGCTTCAGTCAATGGAGGAACTTTGGCAGCAGGATTATCCATCTCTGGTGTGACTGTTGGTGAATCAGCACTATTATGGTTTTGTTAATTCAAGGGCCTGTAGTATCTATATCCTGTTGAGCTCAAACTGTCATTAAGGCGAGGCTCGGTCTTTGTCTCATTGTTGTCTGCTTTTGTTTCATATTGTTAAGCCTTTAATTTGCCAAAGTGAAGAGAATAACAGGCTCTACACGTTCCCCTGTAATGTGCCAGCAACTGAGAACACATTTGCATACAAGGAGGAGGAGCATGCACAGATTTATCTGACGGCATCTGATGTGTAATATAAACAGGATTTCAGCAAAATTCTACCTGAAGCAGACCATAGCTTTTCTCACTCCTGCCTGCTCCACAAGGCTCACAGCAATGACTTCAGCCCCACCTAGTGGTGCATAATCAACATTTACTGTAGGAAAGACCAGCACTGACATCTCACTGTGGCTACACCACTGTGCTCACTGCATATTAAAATGAACACAACAGGCCAGATTTACATTTGTTAGTGTCTTGCCAAGAGAAAAAAAAGACACAAGATACCAATGAATGAAACACTGAACATGTTTAGTTCAAGTCTGATATTGCAGAGGAAATGGACTTGAAATGGTGTGACCCCACGGAGACCCAGCTGCTCTCAGTTTAATATGTCCTGCTTCTCCAACAAGCCAAACCAGAGCTTCCAGATGGCCTCAATCTACTTGGAATGCTATCACTGGTAACTTGAACAGTACACAGCAGTTATTCAAATGAAATGAGAGACAGAGCTGAACGACATTTAATGAACATTTTTGTTTTGTTGCACCAGTTGATCAAGTTCTCAAAAATCTGTACAGAGCTTGAAACATACCGTATAAAGAAATGTGCTGTCTCACTGTTCCTGTGTGAGCTTAACTGTGTCTTTGTAAACCTGGCTTATAACTTGCTATGAAAATTGGTCCTAATTTACAAGAGCAAGACCTGGTTCAACATACATCACAGGACATGATATGTGCACAGTTAGTGTCTTAAACAAATGTAAACAATAATGTCGGCTTTGTGACTGTGTGGGCTGCGATGCAATGAGGCTTCAGTGTTTGGAAAACATTTTCTCAACTTCATCTATCCAGTCACATGGAGATTCTTCCTCAAAGTCTCTGTGAAGAGAAGACATTACATTTTAAATGTTTACCCATACAATGGCTTCAGGAGCTATTCAGACCCTTTCACTTTTTGAACACTTGATTAGCCAAGACAAAGCTAGAGATGCTTCACAACAAGTCTCTGACTGTCATTGAGGGGCTGGAATTAAACCTCATAGAACATCTGTGAAGTGACCTGCAGTTGGCAGTTCAGTGATGCTTTCTGTCTAATCTGACAGAGCCTGTAAGGATATGTTAGGAAAAATGCCTTCCAAGTCATATTCTCTGCTTTGGAAGCACAAACAATGAGATTAAAAACATGTTATTATTATTCTTTTGATTAAATTGTTTTCCAACGCCATGCACATTTTGTAAAACTACACGAACTACTGCAAGTCTGGCTACTTACGTGTCCTCGTCATCAGAGCGAGGCTGCAGCCGGTCCTCATCCACAGCAACTTCTGGCTCCGGCCCGTCAGTGCTGTCTCTTTGTGGCTGGGAGAGAGGTCCAACCAAAGGGTCATCGTCTGAACATAGAAAACACAACACCACAAATGGCTGTTTACTGTATATCATGTACTACACTGACATTATTCTACCTGGACTGAAATGACTATTTTAAGAAATTTAACAACTCTATCTTTAGTGTTTGCTGTGCTCTATAGCAAAGGTTATTATTTTAAAGTAACATGGTTTCAGGTATTTTAACAGACCTCCTCTGTTTATTAAAAAGGTGCTGAAGGCTCTGTTCAGCCGGGCCTTCTCCAACAGACTCAAAAGCCTCTCAGGAGGCTCCCTCTCCCATTGTCTCCTCTGCCTGCTGTCCTTTGACTCCTCTGACACTCCTGGAATAACAGAGAGATAAAACACACTGAGGCTGTATTTCACTCTCCAAAATGTACTAACCTTTTCTTTGTACACTTTACCAAATGCATACACTGTCAACACGCTCATACATCCATGAGTTCAACCTGTGAGGGCCTGGTTGTCTGATGCCATGCTATCCGATGAAGCGAGGCTGGCGTTGGCCAGCACCTGCAGCACAGTGTCCGATGGCTCAGCTGCCCACTGCTTTCGATGGCCGGGCTCTCTACTTTCAAAGCGACCCTCAGTTAACTCCGTTCCTGGGGGAAGGGTTAGAAAGCTTTCTTAGAATTCTTGTTTGGAAATGGTGAAAATATTAAAAACAGCGCTAATTTTCTCACTGACATCCACATGTACGTTTGTACCAGACGTCACAAAACAGTCAGTGATGCACTCCTCCTAGAACTGCAGCAGTAAATAATTTGAAACATGATGGCACTGTTAACTTTGACTGTACCTTCAAATGATGTTTTTATTAAACTCCTCTCTCCCAGAAGATTAGCCACCTTCTTCCCCTCTTCTCTGTTCCATCGACCTGTTCGCCTCCCTTGTTCCTTCAGCTCTATTGCCTTTAAAAGATTCAAAGCAGTGCAATAATTCAAACACTTAACATGAGCTCTGCAGCCATCTGAACTAACAGCCACTTGTCAAAGGTCAGATTCCACACAGGGTCACCAAACTGGGGAAGTTGTATAACTGACAGTATGCTGTTATGGAGGATGGGCAACTATTATAAATCACTTCAGTTTCAACTGCGTGAGTGACTGTCACCACGCAGGGAGCTCAAATGAACATTGTTTATACCTGGGAGGGCAGATGTGAATGCAGGAGTCTGGAAACTCGGTGAGATGTTAGGATGGTGTGCAGGGATGGCCTGTCTTTTGGGTTTGTCTTAAACATCTGCTTGACCAAATACTGCAGCTCGTACAGCAGGTGGTTGGGGAGGGGTGGGTACGCACCCCGACACACCTTAAGAATCAGACTCTTCCAGCTGGGTGCCTGGAACTGGACACAAGAGGGTTGTAGGACAACAAACTACAAAGAACATCTGCGTCACAAGAAAATACACAGCAGATAATCTAAGTCAGCTGAAGATACTGGACCTCCAACATTGCACAACAGTGCTTTGCTGTATCTCACTGTGCAGTAAGAGGACAGCAGAATTATTTAACACAATGTTTCACTGATAGTATTTGAGAGGAAGGGAAGGCCAATACCGGGTGTCGCAGAGTGCAGAGCTCATACAGAACACAGCCCAGAGACCACACATCACTGCAGGACACAGAGACACAAGAGACGCTTATTGATTCACATCAGACATTCATCATGTACTGGCAAAGAGATACGAGACTGGCTAACACACCTATGATTTACATAATCACTGCTGCGCTGAGATAGAGACTGTTTTTAACCCCTAGCTGTTGGTGCAATGCCTCCCACATGCAGCACTGGCTAATAAAAGAATAGTAACACAGATGGTTTTATCCAAACATTACATTTATATGCATTAGTCTAATTATTTTTACCCTGTGTACCCCTCTGTCTGTACATCTACCTCTGTAGGAACATGAATTATATGTAGTTTTCTGCTCTCATATTTTGCTGCTATATATAAAAGAGGGTGTATATTCTTTGCTTTGTGTATTTAACACATCCTGTTGCATGCATCAATTTCCCCACATGGACACTGAGCCACAGTTATTAAGGCTTATCTTCATTTTCACTTTATCTTGTGCCATACGAAATGTAAGAACCAGCTACACAGACACAGTAACATACTGTACCTCTTATTGTTGTACGGCTTGTTTTCCCAGATTTCTGGAGCCACATAATATGGTGTCCCAACATATGTCTGAGCATAAGCCTTTGAGCTGCATCATAATTACAAAAAGAGTGGATGTTAATAAGTAACAGCAGCAAATCAAACAAAGTGCATTACCTGCTACCGTTCCCTTCCTGTACCTGTTCAAAATACACGCTGAGCCAAAGTCCCCGAGCTTGACTTCCCCATTATCTGTCAGGAAAATATTCTGGGTAAGGAAATGAATGAGAAGCCATGATTTAACATCAAGCATGAATAACAGCAGCCAAACAGAGTAAAATGTTATTATCCATAAGTGGGAGATAGTGTTGTGATAAAGCAATTTTTACCATTGTTCATTTCACCCTGCAGTGCTCACACTAATGATACTAAAATATAGTATTGACTTCTTGTTCTGATTCAGAGAAAGAAAGTCTGTTCCTCCTCATTAGTTCATAATTTCTACGTATGTCAACAAATTGTAGTGTTTTAACCATAAAGTAACACTTATTAACAATACTGTACCTTGGACTTTAGATCCCTGTGCAAAACCTGCTTATCATGGATGTGCTTTGCACCAGCACACATTTGAGCAAACCACTTCAAGATCTGGTGATAAAAAAATATATCTGTGAAACAACATAAAACAGGAAACAAAACAGTGGCACATACTTGTGAGAACAGCTGCAGGTAGTGAGGCCGACCTCATCAACACAGAACTGTGTAGTGTTCTGGTGCCGAATCCTCTGGAGCAGGTCTCCTCCACTGCAGTACTCCATAACAATACACAGGAGGTCCTCAGCTGTAAACAAACACAATCACATTGCCTGTTCTGTAATAACTGTATGACAACGGAGTTGAATATGTCTTGGAGTCGGTTTGAATGGGAATGTGTGTGAATACCTTCAAATGCCTCCCGGAAGGCCACAATGTTAGGATGTTTCATTCTGGACAATAGGATGGCTTCCCTCCTCGAATTCTCCAGTTTAGTCCGATTCTATAAAAATGCAAATACAAGCGTGAATGAAGTCTCTCTAGTAAGCAAAACCAACAGCCTCCGCCTCTCTGCACAGGCAGCAGTCCGGTTATCAGCACATTACAAAACACATTTCCATATCCGACCCCAGGCTATAAAGTTATTAAAACTATGGACTCGAACAGAAAGTTGGTTTCTCCATATTTATGGTAGTGTAAAATGATAAATAAAATTCAAGTCTAATCCAGGACAAGCTATGTAACTGCACTTACCTTTGGCAGCTGGATTTCCTTGACCACATACTTCGCATTGCTGCTTTTACATCGAACTAACAAAGCCCGACCGAAAGACCCTTCACCGATGACTTTCAGGAGTGAGTATGTCTCCATTATACCACAAAGACAGACCACAGCGGATAAAGACAAATATCTAGAACGGACTGAAATTTACATAAGGACATCTTCAGCGATCACCTTGAGACATTTATAATGTACAAAAAGACTGCTGCACCAAAATATCACACACCTGTACGCGCGCACTGTTTATTTGGTTACCACTTCCGTATTATTGTATGACGTAGGGCTCACGCGTTACTGCACGACGTGGCCGCTAGATGGCGGTAGATTATAATCTCTAAATCCTGGACTAAAATGCTTTCAAATTTGCTCTAGTTTGGTGGTTTCATATAAAAGTATTCTAAACGCTCATATAATAAATCCAGTCGTTTTTTATCTCATCCGACGCATGTGATTTCAATCTTTTTATCTAATTTTAATCTAAACCAAAAACAATGCAAAGAGCTAAAGACAACAAAAAGGGAGCACGATGTCATCTTTGATCACTAACATGAAAATAACTGAATTGATATTTGGAGATAAGGTCTCTAGTTTTTGGTGAGTGCTTCCATATAATCTAAATCTTTTGTGTGATAGTGATCACAGTATAGTAGGCTACTTTGTTAATTTTACTTCTGAGGTTTTGTTTTTGTCAGTGCATCTCAGGTGCCATCTGTCAGATGCTATTTTCATTAATTTAATTTGTCATATACTGATTTAATATAACATGAGCAGCCGGATGAAGCAGAGGTTTGGCTATGCGAGATTAGAAAAAAGCTTGTGTGCACTATAGATGCATAAAGATAGATACTGCACTGAAACATGGCACCCATTCTGTGCAATTAAAGTTGCTCATCTGGCGCATTTATCCAGGTCCTTGGTGCCAAAAGTCCAGAAAAGCTTTTTTTTTGTATGTATATGTAGTATATATTCTACATATACATACAAATACATATGCATATGCATCATAGCCAGAATATGCATTCACTTTGCTATAACAGATTACGGTATGTGATTTATGTCACAGTAGTCACAAATAAAGGAGCTTCACCAATATCTGTATTGGGAATTGTGTGGAGTCAGCAGCGTCCACACTATTCTTTTCCAATTTTTTTTTAACTATGATATCTGACATATGCAAAAACTACCAACCAGAAAAAAGGTATAGGCAAAACTGATGTTAGAGCAAATACAGAGTTAAATGTTTAAAAAAAGAAAATACGCCATGTTCAGTAGTTTTTCATAAAGGTAACAGCTGATGAATTAGCTACTTGTAAACTCACGTAATAAATCACAAACTGGAGAGCAATATGTTTATTGCTGTTACATGCAGAATTATGTATCATTGACTCGCTAATGCTAATTTTTTTCAGTGAGTACATAGCTATCAACTAGTTGCTTCAGCTATACAGTTAATTACTAGCAGAGCTCCACCCAGCTCCTCCTAATCAGGTTGTTAAAAGTGATGTTAAAAGTCATCAAATGGGGACAGTTCGAGCTCCACTATCTGAGAAGGTGAATATTTAAGTTAATTTGTGATCCATTAATAAAAAGATGGCTAAATGTGGTTACATAAAAAATGTAGCTGACATGCTGCTGCAGTATACTGTTATATCTCATAGACACACTTTAGTGTAAGCCAAATTAGGACACCCATGCTAAATCTTAAAATGTGTGCCCTGTGAGAAATTAAATAATGAAAACAAGCAAACATTTGTGTTCAGAGTTATGCCACTGATACAATAAATCTCCTTGCAGAAGAAACATTAAAGATTAAGCCTGGTTCCAAAGATCTGAATCCCTGCCAACATCTCTAAACTGTTCAGTGACTCAAACGGAGTGAATTAATCAGCCAAAGCGAAACAGCAGTTCAGTCTGATTATCAGGCTATTAAAAATGGCCATCAAAGAAACAAATCTATAATCTACTGTGCTGTGCTTTACAGATGCTGAAAGTCACTTTGTGGACAAGCCAAAGTTTAGCTGAACTTCATTTGAGTGTCATAAACAAAGTTTTTATTAGCGTGCTGAATCTCAGAGCATTGATCCCCAGATAATTGTCTTGGATATTGTCACCTTGTCCCTCTTTTTCACATCATTGTCTTCAACGCTGTTTATCAGTTTATTCTTCACAGGCTTTGGGGATGAATCAGTGGAAAGCCTCCTATTATTTGAGGGGTGATGAAATGAAGAGTATTATGTAGTTTATAAAACTACAAAACCATAATCAACATCAAAAGAAATATAAATTGTTGTGTACAACAGTTCAAACAACATTCTACAAAATAATAAATGACATCCCAGGTTAACCAAAGATACAAATATTGACTTCTTTTTTATATTACTCAAGTGAGTAACAGCCGGGAACAGCCAAAAGTAGAGGAGTAGTGGTAGTAGTAGTAGTAGTAGTACTACACTATTGCACCTGCACCTGTGGTACAGTCCTGTGGTAGATGTCCTAAAATACCACACAAGTCTATGACTACCACAGAAACACTAGAGGAAACTGCTGCAAACACAAAATGCCATATCTGCAATAGCATTGCAACTTTAAAACTTTCAATTACAAATACATGCGTCTGAAGTTAAAAAGAGACTGATATACATTGTGATGGGCTGGTTTAGTTTACATAATAGGCCTCTAAATTATACCATAGTACCCTAGTATCAGTATCAATTGGCTCAAACTTGACAAAAACAACAAAGTTAAGTCTGTTTTTACAGAGAATTAAAATAGGAGCTGAACTACTGTTTGGGTTAAACCAGATACACACTAGTGGCCAGGGAGATGTTTATGATAATATGTTGGGATTAACATTGTACAAGACCCAATGTGGGAGACAGGTGATGCAGTTCATAAGACTAACTTACAGTGTACAGGAAAAGCTGTTTGAAATGATTGAAAACACATTAAATTGGCAGAAGATTGAGGATCTAGTTTGCACAAAGCATTTGGCAAAGGCTAAAAGAATCAGTATGTTTCTTCAGAGAGGCTTCTGTACTGCAAAGGGCTGAGAGCAGACTTGATTACATCGGGCAGTACTTCAGTGTTATGACAGCTTTTAGATAGGAGCGCAGAGAATGCTGCTCTTGCATCTTCTCTGCATATAACTCACATTAGAGGTGGTCTTCCATAGGGTCTAGTAGTATTTGTACTTTATTGGTTGTCTGTTATGTTCAGTCTCTAGAGGGGTTTATGTTCATCTACTGTAGTAAAGAGGAGGCTGAAGAAGTTGGATTTTTTAGCTTTAAATAGTTCAACAGACTCAGCACTGAATGGAAACTGTGTCATCTATACTTTGAGAAGATCACAATTCTTTTGAGACTGTGTTTAAAGGTCTATAATTTGAGTTTTCTGGAACTTTTGGGGTTGTACTTTTTGTTTTTAGGGGCTATCAAGCTGCTGTAGTCAAGTCTCACTCAGGCTGGGGAATAATCCTGCTAAACTTTTACTGAAATCACTTGAAAGGCAATGCCAGCCTGCATCTTACAGTTTCTCACTGGCTCACACGGACGACATCTGTGGGAGACTACCAGAGCTTTTTCACATCAACTACCCCCCCATCCCTCAGTGCCATTCTTCTCTTACCAGGAAATCACCTGAAGAAGATGATGGAATGAAGAAATAGAGAGGAGGAATGAGGGAACACAGAGTCCATTTGGGATTTTACTGCTTTTTACTTCTCTGTCGTGAAAAAATGATATTTACTAAGTAGTCTAGGCATATTGCCCAAAAGTTTATTTTATTTCTGATGTCAGAGAAGGTAAATAGCAAGGAGAAAACACCTACTGAGACACACATGAAATTGTTTGCCCTGTGTGAAATTAATCATTTTTAAAGAAATAAATAAACTACAGTATAAGAGAGGAGCTCTACTACCCTGGGCTACATCCTCAGTTTTTTCTCCATTTGTCTGATGTTTGATCATCACATTTTATTTCTAAGAACCTGCTTGTTTTCGTTAAAACCCACACAGGTGAATTTGATTATTCTGGCTGACAAGACCTCTTCTCAGGACTTGCTTGACTCCCAGTCTCTCTCGTTAGCTCTGTTGCACATGTTACGGTGGAACAAATTACACCTTTATCTTAAGGCAGTTTTCACAGAAGACGTGTCACAGTAGGAAAATCAAATGATGGGGTCTCATTTGGTTTCAGGGTCCTGCTGCCTTAATGGGACACTTGAGAAGAACAAAGACATTGTTACTAGAATCAACTGTGGTTTTCCTGCTATAACAAGTCCAAATATCTGCTGTGAAAAAGGTCTAGTCTGAGTCTGTGCAGCTGTACCCACTCTCAGTCTGAGCAGACGTGTAATCAGCCTGAATTGAAACCACCTTTAAAAGGTAAACAGTGGCACTATTAATACTGAGGAGATGCTGACATTTTGTCTTACTTGAAAGTGCCCTCCCAGTGTGGGGATGACCCTTTCTGAGTTCAAACAAACTGCTAATTTAGAAACCTGCTACCCACAGCCTCCCTTGAATTGTAACCTGTCTATTTCTCTCAGTGATTTTAAGTAACAGCCTCTGATCCACTTTCCTGATGCAGTTTGTATTATGCATGTTATAATGAATTCCCTGTCTGATCTCATAAAAGAGAAATATATGGTTAATTGGCTGTTGATTTAAGTTGAGTGGGGACTAGTAAAGCACAGTGGGAAACAAACTGAATACATATGTGGATGGGACTTCTTTTTAAGTCTTAAAACTGAGTGACTTTAAACTATATTGACTTAAACCACTCCACTTTTTGGGGACAGTTCATTGCATTATTGTTAATGAGAAACACCTGTGTACCTGTCCGTACTGCAAATACCTCACTCCACTGCCAGTATATTCACCTATAATCAGAAAACATAACCACCAGTGGCAACAGGTGTGACATACCACTGTTTCACTATACAGGTTCTATATGTTTGCAGTTTTCCTATCCTGCTGCAAAAACATAAAAAACTCCCACTGTCTTGCTTAGGCTTGACCAAAACGTTGTGGATTTAATATATTCTTTAGCCTAAGCAAGGCAGAGTGCGGGTTTTTATGCTTTTGCTATTTGTTGCTGTCCTCCAGTGCACCTGTCACACATTCAGGTGTGCAGATGTCAATTTTTTTCAGTCTTGCTGTCCTGCAGCCATATCAATTCAGCAATACCTTTATGCAGACTACGTTTTTTAAGCAGAGATGCTCTTAAGGGCAGCACTTATCTTGCTATTGTACTGTCTGGTGAAAAATTAATTAGAATTCATTGAGAATGAACTCTCTAAATGTGATTAAGTGTTGTCACCCTTATATTATCCCCACTTCAACAATAAAGACACCACATAATTTAGGTGTTTGATGTAGTACTATAGCTTTAGTAGCATTCACTCAGTGGCATGTTTTATTTTTAAAACATTTGTCTCTTCCTTTTATGGTATTTTCCTTCAGTGTTAAAGAAAATTTACAAAGAAAGAAAAGGAACTGCTGCTTTTTATGCTACTTTTTGGATCCAGCTCAAGTATTTTTGCTAAGCTGAGTTAGAATTAGCCTGAGGTTCACAGACTTTCTGAGATCAAATTACTCTGCAGCTCTGAAAAGCTTATCCAGCTAGCAATCCTGCTGGTCTTCATGAATGAACAACGGTAATCCTTGTCATTTTCAAGTGGACATATTTTGACAAGCTGTGGCTAATTTGTATTTGTGGCCCCACCCATTAAAGTGATACTCCACCCAATATATATATATATGTATTTTTAAAAGGTTTAGGTTTGAATGGTGCTTCTTAACCCAAATGACACAATAATGCTATTTATCTATTGCTACTGTATCCAACCACACCGAGTTTTGGATCTGTTTGCTCTGGTTTTGACATATCTGTAAGAGATGTCAGTCTCTGTCCCAGTACAGTGCAGGGGAGCATACAGCAGCTCTGATGAATTTATATTCACATCATTTCCAACAGTTGTGATATCCCTTTACTCAGCAGCTTATGAGAGCAGCTGTGCTTTTTATTTGTCACACATTTTGCATGTTTTAAACCAATCAGCTGCCTATGAGTAACAAGGCCTCAGACTGCATGGTGCACCCTGTCAGCATGAGGTACTGGTACTGGTATAAAGGAAGGAACGCTCCAGTGTGTCCCCAATGTGTCAGCCTCTGCTGATGAGGCATCTGGTTGACACTGTAACAATCGCTGGTGATATCAATCAACACAGTAGATCAGAGATAGAGAGCACAATGCAGAGGAGCCATTCTAACATATTAAACAGAGCAAGTACTGAGAGCACGATTTCTCAAGTGAGGATGGGGAGGAGGGGTGGTAGCCATTGTCAGGGGGATGCTGAGCGCTGTGAGAAAATGTGCATGCTAATGAGGGCCAAATGCACTGAGAAGAGCTGCCTTGTAAATGAGCTGACTTTGTACACTTGGGCTTAGATGAATCTCTGAAGTATTGTTTGTTAACCAAAGAAGGAAAAACGAAGAGAAAAGCCGGGTGGGGTTTATATATACAGCTGAGGTAACTGCTATGAAAAGGTTAGCGTTACTGTTATTCACACTATGAAGGCAGGTCAGGGAACTACAAGACACCCCTTGCCTTTAAGCTGATGGCTGCACAGTTACTCAGCGTTCTGGGATATGATGTCTGGAAGACTGGAGCTTTGAAGCTGAATAACATGATCAAAAGGCAAATAATCTTAGCAGAGGTCATAGGATTTACCTCATCAATAACAGGGAAAAGTTAACTTCACAGGACTGCTCATCCTTATCCTCTGTATCGATTGGGTGGGAAAAGAAGACACACATATAGTGAGTGCTACCAGGATCAAGAGGTCATGGGAAAAGCTTTTTAAGAGTGTGAGTGCTAGAGACTGTTCAACTTACCTCTGTGACTGAAATAACACTTTAAATCCACAACTTGAATAAACATTTATTTACAAAATAAAAATGACAAAGAGTGAATACAAAACATGTGCTAATATGATAAAATATTTTATACATTATCATGTTAAACTAAACTTAGATTTTTGGAATCTGAAGTGGCTGAGTCGAGGATGCAGGCAGCCAGTGTTGGATTGCTTTACATTATAGGGATTATTGCATTTCAGTTTTGTTTTTAAGGCAAGAATGACACATAAAGAGGAGACAGAAACACTTTGCATAACAGTGAAGCAATATTACTCACAGGACACATTATCACATAAATATCAATAACCACGGAGAAGAAGACAATAAAAGAGAATACTCTCTTTGTTAAAGAAATAGTTATGTAACAATTATACAAATAGGATTGGTCCGTACATGTTTAAGAACAGCCTTCAAGAGAAGAACCAGTTTTCAAAGCTGCGTGTGTGTGTGTGTGTTGCATTATGAAACAGTCTCTGCAGTTGTCAGGTGAGTAGTGTCCCATGATGTGCAGATCACCATAATGACTTGGAGTCTTTGGTGCCTGATGTGCTATAGTGTCGTGAGTTGACAGAATCAGAGTCCTCTCCCTTTTGTCTGCCTGTCCTTGTCTCCCTTCAGTACGGGTACTGCTTCTGCTTCTTCCCTGCAAAACAGGACAGCCAGGTGCACAGCAGCATGGCAGCTGCCGCCCCTGCCCCTGTGCAGTAATACGCCCAGCCGATCTGGCAGGAACCTACGGGGGGAAGCAGAACATTGAGGATGATAGCTTTAGATTTCACCTTTTATTGTATCTGTCTGTGTGTCAGCACAATAACATTTCACCAGCCTTTGGCCAGGAAAAACAGATGTGGGTGTTAGAAGAGACCTGCACTGTTTATTCTACATTCATATAACCTTTTTAGGAAAACTCCCACAATGCCACATCATGTCTGCAATAAAGGAGAAAAAACTTTGCTGACATTAAAGAAACTGCAGGAGGATATAACATTGCATCTATTCAAGCCCTTTACTTAAAATGTTACTATTTGTTTCAAGTGATTTAGCCCTGTACTGATTTTATTGCTCCTGATGTCAGTATACAGTAGCTTACATTTAATTACAACTATGTGCTCCTTATTTTGTTTGTGCTTACACTTTTGATATGTGACATCTCTACTTTTATTGCCATGCATACAAACATTAAACGTAGGGTTGGTGATTGTTTTCAGAAGCATTTTTTGTTACATATCTTAACATTCTCTTTCCATCCCAATGGCAATAAACACATTAAATGAACTGACAACATAAAGAAACAAATACCAACAGTCGTCAGCTCTAAGTGTATAGATAGGATTGTAATGCAGTTAACTGGGTATCAAAGGCCACATGCAGTGTTTCTGTTACCAAAACAGAATAAAGCCTGTGTTTTGAACAGAGGTACCCCCTGCCAGAAAAGCCCAGACTTCCAAGGCTAGTCACCGTCTGCGAGCCAGGGCTAAAGCAGTTTAGCCATGAACCAGAGGTCCCCAGCTATGGGTGGGAGCTGCAGAGCTGGGTGGGTAAAACTGTACTTGAGAGAGTAACAACTACAGATAAGTTGGATGCTGCAAGAAGTGTAACCAGAATTAACATTGGTGTGGCTTTTGAATGATGGCCACAAATGAGAGAACAAGAGGGGCTGAAAAGTGGCGCCATGGTGGTGGGATTTCTGCCGGACAGGTAATTATCAGCTTTGGAGCTTTGGGGAGAAACCAGAACTAAAGGGTAGGGTTTCTTCAGTTAGGACTACTTTCAAAATCGAGCATCCTCTTGCTGGTTTTTCCAGAATCACCCACCCCTTTAACATGTTGGTGTTAAGAGCAGAGAATGTTGTGAAGTGCTTAACATTTTTGTTCCAGCCACTGTATTTACTTTCTCTTGTGAAAAAGAGTTAGCATTGTTGAATCAAATGCACTGAACATAGTTTAACTCCATTTGCAAACAAACAGTCTGTTATGTGCCAAATGCACTCTCACAATACAGACTATTGGAAAACACCCCAGTGGCTGAAGCGGAGCCAAAAGGAGAAAGAGAGCACAATTTGTCTCCTTATGATTCAGATTCTATAATCCTCAGAATAAAACACAGTGTGTGCATTATAAAACAAGGATGACCTGTGTCTGACTCTAAAGTTGGAACATATTGTGATGACCATCAAGACTCCTCATTATAAACATCAGATTTTGGGAGAATTTCTGACTGAGTTATCTAATTAGGAGCCGAGTGGGAGGATGAGGAGGCGTCTCATTAACAAATCTCTGTGGGAACCTGACTCAACAACCCAAACAGAAAATACTTATTTCTCTGAGTCTCATTTTCTTTTGAAAATTTCCCTCTGTGTCAGAGACTCCCTTAATGAAAATCTGCTTCCCCTCTTTTCATAACATGGCTGTAGTTTATCTAATATTCCATTTGAAAAACATGTCAGGTCGCAGTAATGACTTGAATCTTTTATCCTGTGCACTTGCTTTTCTTATTGAACACATCTGTAATTAATGTGTCATACACTTAAAGATATCGAGCAGGCTCTTAGCATTGGTGGTTCAGTGGTCGAATTCTCGCCTGCCATGCGGGGGACCCGGGTTCGATTCCCGGCCAATGCATGCCACAGTTTGGGGGCAGCGCAGTGGTTGGCGCTGTTGCCTCACAGCAAGCAGGTTCTGGGTTCGAGCCCCGGCCAACCTGGGGCCTTTCTGTGTGGAGTTTGCATGTTCTCTCTGGGTACTCCAGCTTCCTCCCACAGTCCAAAGACCTGCAGCATAGGTTAATTGGTGTCTCTAAATTGCCCGTAGGAGTGCTTGTGTGTGTGAGTGGTTGTTCGTCTGTCCTGTCCAGTGTGTACCCCGCCTTTCGCCCGCAGCTGGCTGGGATTGGCTCCAGCCCCCCGTGACCCCGTTTGGGACTAAGCAGTTTGGATGGACACTTAAAAATATATAAGACTCACTAAAGTGGTCACTGCTCTCTTCATGATTAATAAGTGAGTTAACAAAGGAGCGATTTGGTCCTTGTGCTGGTGAATGCGTTGTTTGTGAGAAATCCACCATTCTCATGGGAGAATATCGCAGTCTTGTTATCGCACTAACAAGAGTGAGGTGAAACTGAAAAAAAAAAACACAAACAACCTAGGGTACAGTGATCACCAAGTAAATTTAATAGCCCTGTGCTACTGATCCGCACACTGGTGCAAACACACTTGTTACCGTAACAATAATTTATAGGCCCTAAGAGCCTGTTCTATCAAAGAGGAAACCATAAAACATGATTGTCATGATTCCTGGCTCAGTCCAGTTGTTCTGCCTTTTCCGCCTCTCCCTGTCCTCTGATGCATTCTAACTTCTCCAGGTCCCTGCATTCCTGTCATTCTCCATCCAACCACCAGATGTCCTCAGACCTCCCCTCCTTTTTCAGACACCTGACTTCCCACACCCAAACTGCTCACCTGTTTCCTATTTTCCAATCAGTCCTCTAAAGTATTCCAGCTCCCCGCATGCTTTCCCACTGATTGCCATATGTATTTGTTGTCCTTGTGCTGCTCATGCTGTGGACTTATGCCTGTTTGCCTTCATTCCAGTCACTTCACTGAATCTGCCTGCCTGTTTGCATTTGGGTTCTCCTGTCTGTGTCTCATACTGGAACTGCGACACATAATGACTTCTGATGCCATGCTCTTAAATTTCACTATTTAAATTGACTTGGTTAGGAATTTAAATCAACATGAATGATATCAGTTTGAATTATATAGACATGTTGTAAGTCTAAATACCACTAGAACAGTCACGCTTTTGTGTGCTGACAGAATGGCAACTGTATTTTATATAAATCTACAATTTACATGACTGCACATATATCAAAACTGCTGGGTGGCTTTTCCAGTGACTTTGTTCATCATCTGTTCAGAGTAATATAATTTAAAACAACTACTGACTATGACGCAAATATTCCGTCTAGTGGTGCTTTGATGCCACTGCCAGGTCAAAATTTTAAAACTGTGCCTTGTGCAACACTTTAATTCATAGCAATAAATAAAAGTGGCTGTGGATATTACAATGCACAGTGACTGCATCCAATATTTTTAGTGGGAACTAATGATCTTTCCTACATGTTCTTTATTTTATCCAACTCTTGTGGTGTGAGGAGAATCACATTCTATTTGTGGGACTGAACATATCTGGTAACAAACCACACCTTTCCACTCAGCAGTTAATCAGTACTGTAGTAAACATGTATACACATAAAAGCCCTGTGTTTCTTAATGTGTGAGGACAAAAGTATGAAAAAACTTCTCACAACAATTGAAAGTGGCAGAAACTACAGCATGGTGGACACTGCTATAATTAGAAGGAGAGAGTAAATCTATGTGGACCCTGCGTCACCTGAGTTATAAGCTCAACAGTCTAATCAAAATTTTACTTGGGACATTTAATTAAAATATTACAAGCACACAAAATGACTTTCTCCATGAACTGCTCTGGTGTTTGATAATAATATTAATTTAGTGTTTCAATTTCTTTTTACATTAAGTAAAAAAAAAAGAAATCAAACATTATTTGATGAAATAACAGAGCAGCTGCAGTATGTGCTGCTCTTCCATCTGCTTCCTGTCTGATACAATAGCCTGTTACTGAGATAGCCCTGATAATGTTGGATGAATACAGAGCAGAATCTGAGCACATATTCATAGATATATAATGCTTCAGGAATCGACAGCAACCAGAGGTTCTGTTGACTTTTCATGATGAGTTTAAATACCAAGGGTTAATGTCTTCTTCGGTATATGACAATACCAAAGACTTGTGTCTGCTTGGCTTCTAAAAAAGGCAGAATGTTCAGGGGAAGATAATAAAATCTGTAATTAATCCTGTCCTAACGTTCCAATTTTTCCAAATGCATCTGTTCTGGGACCAGGTCATTCAGCGAACTCGAGACAAGTATAATGTTGGTGTGTAATTGTCCTTCCTGGTTGATATCTTACCCAGTTTAAACTGGTCTGAGCTGTTGTTGCACGTCTGTTGTACTTCCTCACTGTCCCATCCCAACGGATAGAGCGCACAGCCAGATCCTATGAGTAGACCTGAGAACATGAGGGAGAGAGGCAGAGTTCGTCAGTGAGGAAGGAATTGCTGTATATTCAACTGGTCGCTCAGGGTTCAAAGATTATCAGCAAATGTGGCAGAAGGCTGACAAGACAAAACTGCAGCAAGGACAAACTATCATCTTCAAGGTGTTCACTGAGCTGCACGAGGAAGGTCTGCATTGTTTTTGTGAGGCCTTGCCTCTGTGGGTTTTCATAATTTAAGAATCTTTTCATTAATGAGGAAGAAAAATGCAAAGTGTGTGTTGTTTTCTCTTTGTTGCACCCAGATATCCAGCTCAGGTTTTGTGTGGATTCTCTCTCATTCTTTGGTTTATATTTTAATTAAAATGACCAAAAAAACAATGAGCTTGCTGCTCTCCAGCTGAGTGATCTGTGTGAGCTCACCTATGTGATGTTTTGTTCACCTTATCAACTGTTTCCAGCAGATACGGACGAAGAGGCAGCGCTGACTTGTTTCAGCAGTTTTACCGCAGAACAAGCTTCAAATCCCTTTGTAAAACAACACGGGCTGTGACTTTAACACTTCATCACATTTTTACTGCAACAAAACAAAGCCCTCCTCTGCCAACAGCTCATAAAATGGCTAAAATGAACAATGAACATATGCAAATGGCCTGGCAATTTCTCACAGAGGCAACACAGAAAACAACAGGCATTTTTGGTACGCAATAATTACAGTAAAACTATGGAAAATCCTTGAGGGACTGCTTTATAACAGTGATTAAAAAGACTTATTACTGCACTTAAAACTGCACACAGAGACAAGAGTAATATCTAGTCAAGGCCATTACATTAAGGATTAATATCCTCAATATTTGCCTGCAGCCAGGTCTTCACAACTTATTCCCTAGATGCCAAGGCCTGTCTCTTGAAATTACCCTATGGGGGGGGCCCCTGGTAGGTGGCTCTGTCATCACATTAGCTTAATCCCCTCCAATGTTTCTGGCCTGCTATCATTTTTCGGATGTGAGGATAGCAGGAAAGGAAGGGAAGGCAGGAACGCTCTTGCTTCCAATCTGATTACCTTGTCATCCAGCACTGCCACATAACACCTTGGCCAGACAGCAAGCAGGAATTAATCCGCATGCTAATGCAGATGGACTAGACAAACCAGCTAACATCTGAGGTGGAGCAGAAAAAGTGAAAAAGACATCTGTGTTTTTTCCCAGTCGCAGCCAAAAGGATGGTGAACGTCGTCCGCTTGGTTCTGGGAGAAAATAAACTGGGTGACTATGGCACCTGAGGTAGAAAATCAATTCAGGGGATCTCTGGCATGTTGATGAGAATAAAGGGACATTAAAAGACTCTGACCAAGTCTGTGTCATTACAGCTCAGGATCAGAGGGGATCCAGAGATTTTCATACATAACAACTCAGCCGTTTCTTCTGCAGATGGGTTTCGGCTTCAGACCTAAAATTACTACATCTAACAGAGCACTACAGCAGAAGTAAATCATGAACAGGAACAGCCATCATGAACTCCGGATCAAAATAAAACCCTACTATTTTACAAGGTACAAAAATGCATTTAGGAGCAGGTGAGGATACACAATAAATAATATAATTAAATGTGTATTTATTCAGATTTGTAACAGTAAAAACTGCAAAGCATGCCAGCATGGTAATGTATTCATGATGAATATTTAACAAAATCAAAAATTCTCTTTCAAGTGTTGTGTAATGCAGAGAAGTACAGCAGCACGTAATGAAGCTGAATTTCTTTGTAGCAAAAAGGCACAAAAACAGTTAGATAGACAATGTTATGTAATATTTCTATATGAAATATCAAGATTTATGGTGATTGTCAATCATACTTTAATTAGCACATTGTTAAAATGATCAAAACCATAAAAAGCTGCTGTTCTGTAGCAGCACCACAGAGAGAATGATCTCTGTGAGAGACTTCAGTGCATAGTTTCCACATCAGGTCAGACGATGATGGCAGTGAATGCTAAAAATGATTCTACGACTACAGGCATAAGGGAAATTAATGCCACTACAAAGATGAGATCTTAGATCCGCTGTGTGAGCACAAAAAAATCTGAGGTTTCTGTGTGAGCCAACAGTGTTTTCTGTTGGGTTTGGGGATAAACTCACTGAGCCTGAAACACCGCGGAGGGCAAAGTAAATGTGAGCATTCACATATTACTATGAGAGAGTGTGAAACACAAATTACTGTAGGAGCAAATGGGACAAAAACATAAGATATAATTCAATTCCATATTGTATGTGGTTGTACTTTTCTCTCTTCTGGTTTTTATTTATTTGATATTGATTTATTTTTCTCCCAGGGTTGTTAATTCTATCAAATCCCATCCTCCACACTCACTATGTGGGTTACTGAGAAGCAGATGTACAGAGGCTGGTGACTGGGATGTAGGAGACAGGTTACCAAGAATGAAAAAC